CCACCGTTGCCGCCACTCTACTACCATCAAACCTACCACCATCACCCCCACCACCTCACAACCACAACAGACAACACTATCGCTGCCGCTACCCTACCCCTGTCGCAATTGTCCTACCATCACCTCTACCACTCCCACCCCCACAACTACCATCACTGCCCCACTATTACCCCCAAGCCCCCCACCACCAATTGTTACCCCTATCACCATTGTCCACCACCACTCACATCCATCACCATCACCACCGTCACCCATAGCTACCACTACCACTATCACCATCGTTACACAAAATCCATCACTATCACCGTTGCCACCTGACAACTGCTACTATCACCACAGTCATTACCGTCTCCTACCATCTTCATTGCCGCCCATCACCATTACCACCGTTCATCTCCACTACAACCGGTGCTTAAAATTTGTCATTTTTTTTCTATGTTTGTGAATGTGATTTTGAGTGTGAATACAAATATGTTTGTTATTGATCATTTTTTATTACTCTATTCCTTCAAGTACGGGAAATAACTAGTTTATATAATAAAGTATAATACAATTCAAATCTCAGAAGATAACCAAAATGACTTTTATTTTTTGCGATTGAGATCGTTTTAAAATTTTATTTTAAAGTTAATCTGACGGCTCATATTAACACTTCAAATTTAATAGTAAAAATAAGGCTCTAAGGGTGTGTTTAGAATAACTTTTTAAAAGTACTTATAGGATTTATAATTTCTCATAAATATATTTTTTTTTAAAAAAGTGGTGTTTAAAACTGCCCTACTACCCCACCACTATCAACACTACCACCACCACTGCCACCCCACCACCACGACTACCACTACCACCACCACCACCACTACCCAACCACCATCTTTGCTATAAAAATCACCACCATTATCGTTGNGTTGTCATCACTATACCACCCCCTACCATCACCACCATCGTCACTTCCACCCCCACCACCACCATTGTCCTACAACCATCGCCGCCACCACCTCTGCCACAACAACTACCATTGCCCCTATCATCATCATCGTTGTCATTACTACTACCACCACTATCGTCATCTCTACCCCACAACTGCCACTGTCTAACCATCACCCCTACCACTACTACCCCTATCGCCTCACCACCACCCCTCAAGACCATCACCACTACCACTACCACCATCATCATCGCCACCCCCGACCATTGCCATTACCACCCATCACCACTACCATCGCTCATTTTCATTATAACCAGTGCTTAAATTTTTTTCTCTCTCATTTATATTTGTTATTTGGTATATGTGAATACAAATATATTTATTATTGACCATTTTTTTTATTACTATGTGCTTTTAGGCACATGTTATAACTAGTCTATATAATAAAGTATAATACAATTCAAATATCAAAGTAATAAACAAAATGACTTTTGTTTTTCATATTTGAGATTTCTTTAAATTTTATTTTAAAATTAATTTGACGTCTAATATTAACACTCCAAATTGATAGAAAAAATAGGTCTCTAAAGATGTGTTTTGTGTGATTTTTTAAAAGTGTCTCTAAAATTTATAATTTTTCATAATTACTTTAAAAAAAAGTAGTGTTTGAAACCATCCCACCGCCACCATTATCACAACCACCCCCACCGCCCCATCACCATCGTCACCCCCACCGCCACAACTGTTACCACCACTACTACTGCCACCCCACCACCACAATCACCGCCCCATCACCATTACTACCACCATCATTACAACTATTGTCGCGACCTCAGTATCTCCACCCCCACCGCCCCACCACTACCACCACTACCCCCCAACCACCACCACCGTTGCCGCCACTCTACTACCATCAAACCTACCACCATCACCCCCACCACCTCACAACCACAACAGACAACACTATCGCTGCCGCTACCCTACCCCTGTCGCAATTGTCCTACCATCACCTCTACCACTCCCACCCCCACAACTACCATCACTGCCCCACTATTACCCCCAAGCCCCCCACCACCAATTGTTACCCCTATCACCATTGTCCACCACCACTCACATCCATCACCATCACCACCGTCACCCATAGCTACCACTACCACTATCACCATCGTTACACAAAATCCATCACTATCACCGTTGCCACCTGACAACTGCTACTATCACCACAGTCATTACCGTCTCCTACCATCTTCATTGCCGCCCATCACCACTACCATCGTTCATCTCCACTACAACCGGTGCTTAAAATTTGTCATTTTTTTTCTATGTTTGTGAATGTGATTTTGAGTGTGAATACAAATATGTTTGTTATTGATCATTTTTTATTACTCTATTCCTTCAAGTACGGGAAATAACTAGTTTATATAATAAAGTATAATACAATTCAAATCTCAGAAGATAACCAAAATGACTTTTATTTTTTGCGATTGAGATCGTTTTAAAATTTTATTTTAAAGTTAATCTGACGGCTCATATTAACACTTCAAATTTAATAGTAAAAATAAGGCTCTAAGGGTGTGTTTAGAATAACTTTTTAAAAGTACTTATAGGATTTATAATTTCTCATAAATATATATTTTTTTAAAAAAGTGGTGTTTAAAACTGCCCCACTGCCCCACCACTATCAACACTACCACCGCCACTGCCACCCCACCACCACGACTACCACTACCACCACCACCACCACTACTATCACCATTGCCGCCACTACCCAACCACCATCTTTGCTATAAAAATCACCACCATTATCGTTGTCGCCACCCTACCACCACCTCCATTCACTGCCACCACATTTCTACCATCACCACCTCTTCCACAAAAACCACCACCACCACCCCAATCGTTACCACCTACTACCATCGTCATCTTATTCTTATATTTATTACCACTGCCACCATCACCCTTACCATCACCACTGCTACCCACCACCTTACCACCAACGTCACTATCCCACCATCACCTCTACCACCATCACCGTCTCTTACCACCACTCGCCCTACACTATAATTGGTGCTTAATTTTTTTTTCTCTTATCTATCTTTGTAATTTAATTTTGGTTGTGAACACAAATTTGTTTATTGTTAATCATTTTTTTTATTACTCCGCATCTTCAGACACGGGAAATAACTAGTTTATATATAATATAAAACAAAGTAGACTTCAATAAAATTATTTAACGGTCTTAAATAAATTTATCTAACGACCACCAACATTCATCTCAAAATCAGTCACAGTAGACCATGTCTTCAAGCAGAAATTACTCCTAATAGAAAGATAAAAGACAATTTTATCATTTCATTTGTTTGAAAATTTGAAGCAAGTACCTAAGTTTTATTTTTATTTTTTGTTAAATTGGGAGCGCTGCTACACGATATCTATATGGTTAATTATAAAAAAGTGAGATATGAAAGTAAATTGATATAATAAAGTAAAAAATCAATAAAAATGGAAAGTTATGAATGATTTTGGGTAATTTAGGGGTAATATAAATATGTCACAATGTGAGAATACCAAACTCTTCATGTGCCTTAAATAACAGTATAGATTACAACATATAAAAAAACGAAATAATAACATATTTTTGAAGCAAAATACTAGCGGTGAATTATGCCCACTCAAGTGTATCATCGTATACCTTTATTGCACCTCTAGTGTTGTGTTTATATATATTTTTTCTCTCTTTCTTGTGCTACTTCCAAATATTTTGATGGTATATACACGCAATACACACACATATATATATATACGCTACACACGCATATACATATGGATGTACAAAACCATAATATTTGTATCATATAACTAAAGTTACAAAAAAAAATTATTAAAAGAAGTAATTCCTATGGAATATAGGAATGCTTTTCCTAACAATTTTCGCTTAGTTATGATTATTAGGCAGAATTAATATTGGTGGGTGTTTGATAAGTTTCAAAGAGTGACATAGCTAGATGAAGAAAATTTATACAAGAAAGAAGTAGTGCTTTGAAGGTGAGAGGACTGTAACCAATCAATTAATGCCCTGGTTTGACCCGACGAAAAAGGTGAGATAATTATACACCGAAAGAGATCTAAAGACTTAATGTTCGGGATAATAGAAGAAAATAGTTGAAGTCCTTATTGCTCTTTGAATTAGATATTCTTAGATGGTATTATGTTTGAATTAGTATTGTTTGCTCGAGTGGGTAAATCAATCTTTTTCTGATGAAAAAAGATTTCAACCTTAGCCTATCCTATATTGTGGAAAAGCAAGCTAGTCAGGTGATTCAAGTCTACCTTATTCTTGATCTTTAAAAGCTAATTAGCTTTTGACTCTATGAATCAGGTAGGTTAGGCGGTGCTCCTTCGCTTGGTCAATCAACTATGGTTGAATGGTCGCCCTAAGAAACATTGTAAGTTTGTCAAGTTCAATTCTAATCGGGCATACTATATTTGTTTAATTGCACATATCAAAGGATTAGCCTATGATATCATTTGATGACGCTTTTAAAATATATTTTTTTGCATAATTAAACAGTTCGCAAATTTGCAAGTGTGTACTTGTGTTTGTGGGCGAGAGAGAGAGAGAGAAATTGTTGTTATTTTGGCAAGTATTAAGTTTCAATGAGAATTTGGATGTACAAATTAAACCCAAAACATGATGTTAAGTTAACATGGCAAAATTGATGGAAGAACCATGGTGGAAAAATCGGTGATTATGGCGATAAGAATCCTGTGATGCGGGACCTAACAGCTTATTGGTGGAGGTACTGGTTGAGGGAGTGACTATGGTGTTAGAGTGACAGGTGGTTATCGTGGTGACCTTTACCATTTACCATTAGGATTTATTTAAACATAATTAATGGATATGATTTGACATCTTGATGTACTGTAACTAGGAGTGTTGAACGTATTAGGTTAGTGTGTTGGGGCAAATTATGCGGAGCAAGCTCTAACTTCTCTCTAGCTTTCTCTCACTAAAAAAAAGTGTTTTCGGAGAAGAAGGAAGCCAGAGGCCTCAACGTACTCTACACTGAAGTCTGGTTTCAACAAGAATGGAAGAGGACCCACGTGATATCCAAAAACTTTCCGAAGAAGAGGAGGATCATCTGGAAAGAAGTACCAAGAAGGTCAAAGAACACCATGGAAACTTGGAGGAAGAAGGTATGCTGGTTGATTCAAGCGCACCAACAACCCACGAGATTCAAGAGCTGGTAATGTAGGAGATACCCCTTACAGAAGGGAAGAAACCACAAAGAAATTACAAGGAAGCACTCATGGATGATAACAATGCAATCTATTTTGATGTAGATAGCTACGAAAAAGAACCATAGGAAATGGAGGAAAAGGACCAAGAAGATTCGCAAGGAAAAAGAAAGATTCACACCATGATTGATACATCAGATGAGATGTGCCCAAGTATTAGCCTCCTCCCCAAGTTGCTACAGAGAATTAGAAGCAAGTGGAAAGAGGGTTTGCTAGTGAAACTTTTGGGGAAAAGCATTGGCTACAAGGTGCTGTGCATGAAAGTAAGGAATTTATGGACTCTCCAAGGAGATTTTGATGTTATCGACCTCGACAATGGATTCTTCTTGTTTAATTTTCATGTAAGGGATGACTGCCACAGAGTTTTCACTGGTGGATCCTGGATTATCATGAACCACTACCTTATAGTCAGAAAATGGGAACCAGATTTCATACCATCAAGAGCAATGAAAATTGCTACAACACTCTGGTTAAGGCTACCGGAGTTGCCTCTGGAATATTATGATGAGACAATCCAGTTCCAAATTGTGAAAAGCACTGGGGAAACCAATAAAAGTGGATATCAAAACTGCCACAGCGAAGAGAGGAAGATTCGCTAGAATATGTGTGGAGAAAGACCTTAACAAACCTCTCATCTCCCAGTATAAGCTTGGGGGAAGGCTGTTCAAGGTCAAATATGAGTGTATACACTCCATCTGCTTTGCCTGTGGAAGAGTTGTTCACAAAGAATACTATTGTCCCTACTCCATTGGAAAAGAGACACACTCCACCGTTGACGACCATCGTGGCTCTTCATCAGACCCTCACATCACAAGGTCTGCTAGACCTGACACAGAAAAATGGTCAACTACAAAATCGAACGTTGTACCCCAACCCCAGGAAGAAGTTAAGGAATTCGGGCCTTGGATAATAGCCCAACCTAGAAAAAGAAGAACCCAGCAACTGAAAAAAAACAACGGCCCAAACAATGCAGTAAACCCGAATAAGTATAAGGCTCTAGAAACCATGCCATCTGACCTGAATGAGCTTCAAACCAAGACCTATGGCCCCTACCAGACCAAATCACAACCCAGAGGGACAAATGAAGGAAATAATCCTAGTAGAGGCCCAAGAAAAGGGCAAAGAAGGCAACGGGACCAAGGTATACAAAAGGAAACAACCCAATGGAGGGCCCAACCAATTGGGATAACCCAGTCCGCTGCCTCCTTGGTTCTAGTGCAGAGATCAAATGACAAGCAGATGCCTTCAAGAACAATGTCTAATCTAAAGGCTCAAATTGATTCGGGATTTCCCATAGAACCTAGATATGGAGTAAACCCTTGCCCCTAAGATCTACCAGGCCTTTTGTCTCCACATGATACACTCACTCTGGATGTTCGAAGGAAAACCAACTCGGCAGATGTCCACTTGAACTCGAAATCCCCTAATTTAGACCCAACTATTCACACATACAATGGAGCTAATCCCCCTAAGATATTTCAACCTAATCAACAATACCATGGATCTAGTATTCAGAGCGAGATAGGAAAACAAGTGGTTTGCTACCACCAACTGGGAAATCAGGGAGATCCTATTGAAGATCGAACCTTGCTCAGTTAGATCGTCAACAGACAAACTAACAATAGTCTCCATGATGCCGTCAGTTCCTCTCATGGAGAGGAGATCTCAAGTCAGGATGGTGCTGGGTTGTAGTGAGGATGTCTCCCTCCCCCCTCTTTTACTAAATCATTCAATGAAGATTTTAACGTGGAATTGTAGAGGAGCTGGTAATGAGAGATTTCGAAGGGCGTTCGGTGATCTCTTTAGAGCACACAATCCAGATGTGGTGGCTCTTATGGAAACTAAGGTACACAGTTCCCAGATGGGAAATTTTTTGAACAATTTGGTCTAATTATGTCAGAAAAAGTGGAACCACAAGGAAGGGCAGGAGGAATTTGGCTCCTATGGGATCCTTCAAATGTCACAGTCCGTATTCAGGAAGCCACGACCCAAGCCATACATGCTCATATAGTGCGTATTGACTTCAATGAGTGGCTGCTATCTGTGGCGTACGGAAGTCCTAACCCAACGAACAAAGAACTACTATGGGACAATCTCAGTAGCACTGGTGACAACTATAATCATTCATGGTTGGTGGCCGGTGATCTAAACGACTATGCTAGTCATTCAGAAAGGAGTGGCCGAAGCTTGGATCAAAAAAATAGGACCAGGAAATTCAATGACAGAATTAACAGATGCAGCTTAATTGATCTTGGATGTAGTGGACCAAGACTGACGTGGAACAACAAACGTAAAGGTACGACGAATACAAAAATTAGACTCGATTGAGCCCTGGCCAATGCAGAATGGACGCTTTAGTTCCCAGAAGAAGCAGTTCAAAATCTTCCAAGAACATACTCTGATCACTGTCCTCTCCTCATCCATACGAAAGGTATGTTTCCAAGCTCTTCTACTCCTAGACCTTTTAGACTTGAGGCTATGTGGTTCACTAAACTTGAGTTTAGAAATGTGGTGGTTAATTCTTGGAACCATGCCAACCAGGAATTTACTCTGGCTACTAAAATATTTGAAAAGAATGCTTTAGAATGGATCCGAAGTAATTTTGGTAATATCTACCATAGGAAAAGAAATGTTTTGGCCAGACTTGAAGGCATCTAGAAAGCACAAGATAATTTTTATTCCCATAACCTTGAAAGATTGGAAGATTAACTCCAAGCTGAGTACCAATGTATCATTGAGCAGGAGGAAACCCTCTGGTTTCAAAAATCTAGATCTAATTGGATAACTCTTGGAGATAGAAATACTAGATACTTCCATGTGTCTATTGTTGTGAGAAGAAAAACAAATAGACCCCAATCTTTGAAAAATGACCAGGGATTATGGGTTACGGAGAAGAATGAAATTGAAGAGGTTATCCAGAATTTTTATAAGAATCTTTTTGAATCTGAAAATTGCAATTTTATTGACTCTAACCAGTATGGCCATCAAGCAAAACTTGACCAGATAGAAAAACAAATCCTTGATGCCTAGGTTAGGGATTTTGAAATCAAAAATGTTGTCTTTAACATTAAGTCTTTTAAGTCTCCTGGTCCAGATGGACTCCAAGCTATCTTTTACCATAAGTACTGGGTAAAAGAGAGTGTCCAGAGGACATCAATAAAACATGGATCTTGCTTATCCCTAAGGTAGAGAATCCATCTTTACCTTCGTAGTTTAGACCTATTAGTTTGTGCAATGTTAGTTACAAAATTGTGTCTAAATTACTGGTTACAAGACTCAGAACATTCCTGAACAAACTTATCTCTCCATTCCAAGCCAGCTTTATTCCTGGGAGACAAACCATTGATAATGTAATTGTGATCCAGGAAATTGTCCACTCATTAAAGAAAAGAAAAGGTAAGAATGAGGGGATGATAATAAAAATTGGTCTTAAAAAAGCTTATGATAGAATGAGTTGGCCCTTTTTCCACCAAACTTTGATTGATTTCAATTTTCCATAAGCCTGGATTGACTTGATTATGAGCTGTGTGATAGGTACTTCCCTCTCCATCTTATGTAATGGTTCCCCATTGGAGACAATTAAGCCTAAAAGAGGACCGAGGCAGGGAGACCCACTGTCTCCCTACTTATTCACCTTATGTATGGAGAAATTAGGGCAGATCATTCAGAACAAAGTTGAAAAAGGTTTATGAAAAGGCATTAAAGCCTTAAGGAAAGGCCCTGCTATTATTCATCTCCTCTTTGCTGATGATATTATCCTCTTCTCTAGGGCCTCTGAAAGGGATTGCGACATGGTTAAAGATGTATTGGATAATTTCTACTCTATCACAGGTCAAAAAGTAAGCATGTCCAAATCCAGAGTCTACTTTTCCCCTAATGTCAGCAGGAGCCATGCTTTGCACCTAGGGAGAAGAGTGGTATCACATGCACCGATGACCTAGGGAAGTATTTAGGTATCCCCATCATTCATAAGAAAGTAAGTAAGGAACATTACAACTTAGTGATTGAGAATATCCAAAAGAAATTGAGTGGATGGAAAAGAAGAGACCTCTCTTTTGCAGGTAGAAACACTCTTGTGCAAGCTATTACCTCTACAATCCTAACTACATTATGCAAAACTCCTGGCTACCTTAGTCCATTTGCAAGAAAGTTGATAGACTTAATAGAAATTTCCTTTGGGGAGATTCAGATGAGAGAAAAAAGGTTCACTTGATAAATTGGGATACTGTCTCCTCCCCTAAGGAGATTGGGGGACTAGGATTGAGAAAATGTAGAGATAACAACTTAGTTGTTCTATCTAAACTGGGTTGAAAATTACATTCTAAGAGTAAGTCCCTTTGGGTGGAAGTGGTCCAAAAAAAGTAAATGAACCCATCCCTAATGATTGGCCACGTAAGCCTAATTCATCCATAATATGGAGAGCCTTGTTGAAAACCAATCAAATTGTGAAAGATAATACAAAATGGCTTATTGCTAATGGTTCAAAAGTGTCTTTATGGAATGCCTGGTGGACAGGTGATAGTCCACTCTAAAGAAGGATGCAGGTTCCATCCTCGGCTAACCGGAACAGCATAGTGGTTGAGATTATAAGTCCCACAGGTAACTGGAACATTCAAAAAGCTGGTATGTACCTTCCCCCTTCTTTGATCTCTGATCTCTTGCACACACCATTGCCTTTGGAAGGCTCCCATCCTGATTCACCATCTTGGGGTCTCACAAGTGATGGAAAATTCTCCATTAAATTTGCTTATAATTGGATTTCTAATCCTATTCCAAGGCAGCACCATGACTTGAATTGGAATTGGATTTGGAAACTAAGGGTCCCTTAGAAACTTAAACATTTTCTATGGTTGGTCCAAAGTGACAGGCTCCTTTCAAGCGTCTTGAGGTTCACAAGAAATCTCACAAATGATCCTTTTTGTGAAAGATGCAAGGCCCAATATGAAAGTACTATCCACATCCTAATCTGGTCTGGAGATCATTTTTAAATAGGAATGATCTCCAGCTAGATCAATCAATGGACCTCCAAAGTTGGCTCATTAAAAACTATAATGTAGAAAGGACACTTTTTGGAGAGGCGTGAAATGACCTATCCTCTTTGTCTCTTTGATATGGAATATCTGGAAAGACATGAATCAAGAATGTTTGGGAAATATAATCAACCCTCCCCTTTTTATTTCTAAGAAAGTTTGGAGATTGGTATGGAATTCATGGAATGCTTTCAATGAACCCCGCTCACAGGTGACTCCTAACCCCCCCAAACTAATTGGTTGGTCTTTCCCTCCTACAGGATGGTTGAAGGTGAATGTGGATGGTAGCTTTATAGGGAACCCTGGCTCAGCTGCATTTGGAGGATTGCTAAGGAATGATCAAGGAAGGTGGCAGCTAGGTTTCTATGGAAAGCTAAAGGATTCCAATTGCCTACAAGCAGAACTATGGGCAATCTATCAAGGTCTCAAGATTATACAAACTCAGAACCTAAAGAAGGTGATCATGGAAACAAACTCCCTGGATGCCCTCAACCTAATCTCTGCTAGGTTGGAGGAACTCCACCCTGAAAGGAATATCATTGTAAATTGCAAGCATATAATGGGATTGACTAACACTCCCATTATTCACACACTGAGGGAAGAAAACTTTTGTGCTAATAAAACGGCAAGCTTGGGAGGGCTGTAACAGGATTCTTTTGTTTTTTTGATGTCCCACCGCCTGTGTTGGGGCAATTTCTTTTGAATGACCTGTCATGTGTATCTTTTGCAAGAGGGTTTAAATAACCCCGTTATCTTTTCATATGTACCAAAAAAAAAAAAAGAACGAATCAGGTTAAACGCAAGAGCGGAGGCAACCCTATTTAGGGTAGGCAAGTGTCCCCCCTCAATTTTTTTTTTTTTTATTATTACTTAGGTATGTATATTATATATTTGTATAATATATTATTTGTATCTATCCAAAATTAAAGATAAAAATAATAATGTACACTTATATCAAATGAATAATTTAATTATGTCCTCCCTAATTTTTTGGCACATTAATTAGTATATATTTATATTAAATGAATATGAATTTTTTTGACACATTTTGGACTGATTATATACCTATCTAGATAAATTTTGAATATACTAGAATTATTTTATATTTTCTAAGACTAAAAAAGACATGATATGCATATTCTCTAGTTTACTTGTGATTTCGGAATTTAATTTTGCTAATTATGGTAAAAATTATAAAGTGCACATTAAACTGCATAATCGATCAAATGATTTATAAATATCAAAGTGATAACATGATTATATATCTAAAGAATAATAAAGTTGTTATACAACGTTTTA